ACCTCATGGATACCCAGTCGAGTTGCTAGATCTGTGCGAAATCTGTCCCATTTAGCACGGTGATAGTGCCACACAACACGATGGAGGTTGTTCTCACTGTGAAGGCAGGACTTCTTCTCCACAAGGGCTGTGCGATGGTCAGTCTTACTGATACTGTCATGGACAGATGCAACTGCAGCAGGCAGATTGGTAAGGATGAGGTCAAGTATGTTTTTCCCTCTTGTTGGTTCCCTCACCACCTGCTGCAGACCCAGTCTAGCAGCTATGTCCTTTAGAACCCAACCAGCTCGATTAGTAGTACTGCTGCCGAGCCACTCTTGGTGGTGGACATTGAAATCCCCGACCCAGAGTACATTTTGTGCCCTTGTCATCCTCAGTGCCTCCTCCAAGTGTTGCTCAACATTGAGGAGTACTGATTCATCAGCTGAGGGAGGACGGTATGTGGTAATCAGCAGGAGGTTTCCTTGCCCATGTTTAACTTGAAGCCATGAGACTTTACGGGGTCCTGGAGGGAACGGTCCTTGCAGAAGGCAGACAAGGGAGATGTCCCTTCAGACACACATTCCCCTCCCCTCCAACACACATTCCCCTCCCCTCCCTTGTCCGCCTTCCGTGGGGACCGTTCCCTCCGGGACACCCTAGTCCACACCTCCTTCACCCCCACCACATCCCTACGGCACCTTCCCCTGTAACTGGCGAAGGTGCAACACCTGCCCATTTACCTCCTCCCTCCCCAGTATCCAAGGGCCCAAACATACCTTTCAGGTGAAGCAACACTTCACCTGCACTGCCCAGAATCTAGTCTACTGCATTCGCTGCTCACAATGTGGTCTCCTCTACATTGGGGAAAAGAAGCGTAGACTTGGCGACTGCTTTGCAGAACATCTACGTTCTACTCGCAAAAAAGACCCTGAATTCCCTGTTGCCTGCCACTTCAATGCACCACCCTGCTCCCTGGCCAACATCTCTGTCTCTGGCTTGCTACAGTGTTCCAGTGAAGCCCAACGCAAGCTGGAGGAGCAACACCTCATTTTCCGCTTGGGGACCCTAGAGCCCTCCGGACTCAATATTGAGTTCAATAATTTTAGGGCATAAACTCTCCCATGTCCCAGCCCCCACTCCACACACCAGGCTTTGTTACCACATAGCCTGCCATTACACACCCGCTGTTGTTAGTCACTAACAGTCCCCATTAACAACTATTCACCCTCCCAGCCTGATCGTTAGCAACTCCTTTGTCTATCCAACTGTCTTTCTCTCTCTTTGGGCTCTATCCTATCGTTTATTCTGAGGAAGGGTCACTGGACCCGAAACGTTAACTCTGTTTTCTCCTTCACAGACGCTGCCAGACCTGCTGAGCTTTTCCAGCAACTTTGTTTTTGTTCCTGATCCAAAACGTCAGCTTTCCTGTTCCTTTGACGCTGCCTGGCCTACTATGTTCCTCCAGCTCCACACTTTGTTATCTCTACTTCAGAATTTTATTCTTTATCTGTTTGTAACTCAGTGCCTAATTTAGTTCAAGAACGTTATGGTGCCTTGGGGCATTTTGCATCCACAACAAATGCAATATACAAATAAAATTGTTTTTATAAACAATTAACTGAAAATAGAACGGGATGCTGCTTAAACACTGGCACATAAAAAATGGACTGAAATGCCAGTTTACATGATAGTAATGCCCAGGGAAAGAAAACTGCACCCACGACTGTGCCCTTATGGGTAACAGCAGGGCACAATTCTAGCTGCTGTGCTTGGACAAACCAAACAGCCGTATTTCAAATAAATACACAAGTTGCTGGGAAAGCTCAACAGGTCTAGCAGCATCAATGAAAAGAAATCAGACTTAACGTTTCGGGTCACGCTTCCTCAGTACAAGCGCCGGACCCGAAACGTTAACTCCGATTTCTCTTTACAGATGCTGCCAGACCTGAGCTTTTCCAGCAATTTCTGTTTTTGTTTCTGATTTACAGCATCCGCAATTATTTCGGTTTTTGAGCCGTATTATATATGCTGCCCACAGCAGGAGCGGTGGCACTCCCTGACCCAGCGGTCGATTACTTAGTGCGAGACCTGCAGGCTCACAAACTGTTTAAACGGCCCAACATTTTCAGCAACATATAAACAATAACCACATTTAAAATTAACAAAACCACAGAATTCGGGACCGAACAACCTACAACACGCAACTCTCGACGTAAACATCTCAAGTTCCAGTTGGTCACTGAATTTTAAATTACACTGTTCACCCGGGGGCAGGAGGCCTGAAGTCAGACCCTGAGTTCTCATTCATAGCAACCGTCACCAGGCTCGTACACATGCCGGTTCACAAAGCATTGATTTATTACAGTCGAGGACAAACTCCTCGTCCTCCAGCCAAGAACCAAACACGCTTTGTCGGGAAGGACCCAGTTACCTTCATCGTGCTCGTCCTCCGGGTCTTTAAAGGTCGGTAAAGGGTTTAACAGGTCCTCCAACTGCCTGGATATAGACGTCGCCATCTTGCTCCAAACCGTCAGCGAGAATGGAGTATATTCAATATGACGTAGCTACAGTTACAGGGAGGACTTCCGGTTCCGTTTGACACACACACTCACAACATAGGGTTGGTCCTCTTCCAACTATTTACAATGGTAAGTTTTTCATGACCCTCCTTACTACGGTAATCTTTTTGAATTACGGAATTTTGTGCTATTTTTCGTGAATAACACAATTCCAACGACAACGCTGAGGATCGTAGGATATTCCATTTTATTGTACTGAAGGAGAATCTCACCATATTGAATTGCCACTTTCTCTTCAGAATATAGCGACTTTAATAAGTTTAGGGTATGGATAAGATTGATAGGCCATCATTTTGCTCTAATTTTTCACCCTCATGGGTCACGGCTTTAGGTTTTCCTGATGTTAGGACTTTCAGCCTATTGACAACTAAGGAGACTTTATTAATATTTTATGACCGCAAGAATATAATAGAATTAGGTCAAAGAAAATATTAACGAAGATTTCAATACAGCCATATGATGGATGTAGTGAAAGGGAAACGAAAGAATTTGTTTTGCATTACTCTGCATCGTAACCCCATATACATTGTTCGCTTAATATATTCAAATATTCAAAAGCAGTAACTTAGTGCTTCAAATCCAATTGCCATATTTTTGAAGGTTACATTTATTTGTTTAAACACAGTTTTTTTGATTGACGAACCAATTGGTTATTGTCAATTTGTGAAATATAATTTACTTTTTAAATTAATTGTTTAAAAAAAATCAGCAGTCATAATGTACTCAAAAAGTCAGTTTTCTAATAGGTCATATGGTGAACTTTTGGAATGTTATTCAAGTGTTTAATATACATAGGATGCGCAGATGCAAAAGTAGAATGTGTATTTGTTCTAATCGTGTGAAACCACTCACGCTTGTGACAATAGTATATTTGAGAGAATTGGAGGACACGTTGCAGATCAGGTATATAGAACAATTTAAGATAAGCTAATACAATGGATTCCGACGTTCCTAAAAGTGAAATCGAATTGACCCAGTGGGGTTATTAATGAAAATCTATTACAACTATTACCGTGTTGGATTTAAATTACTAATAGCTATATTTAAAACTGGCGTTCCTTAATACATTGAAATCACCTTTCAGTACTAAAATTAATAATGCAACGATTCAAATTTTGGACGCCAGTGGAATAGTAATATCGTAAATTAAGCAGTATTCTGCGCATTTGTACATTTCATTAATGTTTCTAACTGATTTAGAAATCTAAACAGAAAATCGTTCTACCGATACTATATGATACGAAAACATTAACATATACTTCAGAGGTGAATGTAAAATACAGAAAATGAAGAGTGAGGACCCTCTGGGGAAAGATTTAGGTGTGTTACATTTAAGTTCCATCTCAAATGTTGCATTTCTCTTACACATTGTGTTACTTCTTTCATAAGGTATTTGAACCGATATATACAAAATAAATGTGTAGACTTCAGCTTACAATTCCACCCTATCCCAGAGACGAATTTCCAAGAATTTTTTTTCTCGCTAAAGTGGAACAGTTGGTCAATTTACTGTTCATCTGAAATGACGTATTGATAAATCACTAAAATTGGTTTAAGCCAATTATTGATTTAATTAATTCTTATTAACTTTAAAAGGAATGTTTTAGATGATTAATTGCCCATAATAACAAGAAATAGGGTTTTTTTTTCTAATTTTGTAATTCGTTGCTAAAACGTACACGAACACATTCGATGAGTTTGGATTAGTTTATGATTGCAACCGTTAATATTTAAATGGAGTTATTCACAAAATAAACTTCGATTAAATTCAGTTGGTATGAACTTAAATGAAAATCGAGCACCCAGGCATTATATTCTAACCGAAATTCTACGCTTTCTCTTTAACTTTTATAAAAACAAAAAGCATTAACACAAATAAACTAATTAACTGGAAAAAAAACTATAGCTATCATTTTAATGCAAATAAATCAAAGTTTTGTAAGTTTTAAAGTTGTTAAAATATCATTCGGAGGAGCTAACTTATAAAATGTTGGAAGTTTCAAACAGACTATATTTCTGGAGCCAACAATTTACAATGAACGAATAAATAATCGTAGAATCTCTAGAGTGTGGAAACAGGCCCTTCAGCCCAACAAGTCCACACCGACCCTTGCAGCATCCCACCCAGACCCATCCCCCTGTAACCCACACACCCCTGAACACTACGGGCAATTTAGCCTAGCCAATCCACCTAGCTGGTACATCTTTAGACTGTGGGAGGAAACCTACGCAGACACGGGGAGAACGTGCAAACTCCACACAGACAGTCGCCCACGGCTGGAATCGAACCTGTGGCCCCCGGTGCTGTGAGGCTGTAGTGCTAACCACTGAGCCACCGTGCCGCCCCAAACGAATGCAAATATGGGCAAGAAACTTGCACTTCATTCTGTCACCATAAACAAAACACGTACATTTCCAGACATTAAATCATCATTTTTTTATTAAAAAGTCACAAATTTATTCAACATGTTTTCATTTATACAGTGAATGGTCTAATATGCAACGGAGGTCACAGAAGCTTAGGCCTATTATGACAAAAATGATATCATGAGGAATCCTATACTGTATAAAGCAAAAAGTAGCAGCTGTCGACTGCATATTTGACCATGTAGTAAAATTGTTTAAATATTTGACCTATCGTTTCTGTAAGACACAAAAATAAAATCCTGTATGAATCTATATGGGCATTATTAACGATATGAATGACTCCGATGAGAGAGCTAAAAATTAGCTGAAAGTATATTTTTAACACTCTCTTTCTGAACACTTTCTCCAGTGGATGGTGCAGTGCACCTACAGTAATTGTGCTATGACTTATCTATTTGGCACCTTTCTAGTTTGTTTTCCACTTTTGTAAACATACGCAAAAAAAAACACTTTGTACAAACTGGAGCTGTGAACCACAACTCCAACAAACCTTTTTGTACGTTTTTTTGGAAACAAAAAAAAGTTTGGTTACTTGATGCCCGTTTCTTCAATTCAGATCAAGAGGCTCTAAAATGTTTTCTAAAACATTAACGTCCTGAATTAAATATAATACGTAAACAGTAGACTCTTTCAGTTTATTAATGAGCTTTTTTTTTGTTGTTCAGCTTTGTGTAGGTAGAATGGTTTGCGTTAAAGTTTTGAGGGCTCCCAGACGCTATTATCTTTTCGAGGTCATTCTGAAATTTGTTCCTTTTGGGTTTTGGAATCCCAGCTTTCGTTCGCCCTGCTTAAGACGCTGTCATTGTGTAAGCTGGTTCAAATTTTCTCCGTGATTGAAGTTTTTTTTAAATATAATTATTATTTCGACATCTGTTGTAACGAGCTTTGAAAATCTCGCCTTTTTCTTGCTGTCCGGGCAACGCATTGTCTTTGGGGTTGGGATGGAGCAGAGAAAGAGAGAGAGGGACAGAACTGTTAGTATTGTCCCTTGATGTTAAATCAACAATTTTCGCGAAGTCGGAAGTCGTTACCAAACGGCAGTCTCGTTCATTTCCGGGGGTGGATGTGACAAGTGGCTGGTGTATCCCCCATTGGTGAGGGAGAAGGACGGACTGGGACCCGGTCCGAAAACATCCGCAGCCATCGAGTGCATTGACGGTCCCGTTAGACCTGGCTCCGGGCTCGGAGAGTCCCCGTGAGAGTGAGAGATCATGTCGGTGAACCTCTGACTGTCGCCTGGACCCGGCAGGTTGCTTGGGTGATGGCCGGGCAGTGGATGCTCGAGTCCGCCGAGTGGGGTCGCCCCAGGCCCGGAAGAGGGCACAAAACCCAGATCCACTGGAGTCTGAGCTTGAGAAGAGGGGGGACCTTGAGGAAAGAAATCATAATTGCCTCCAGGACCATAATATTCAGTCTGATAATCTGAGAAGGGGAACAAAGACAGCAACTAAATATAAATACAAGCCATCCTTACGCATCCTTAGACAATGGTATGTACACATTGCAGTTTCAAGAAGTCAGTATAAATAAGAGTAGGGTAAACTCTGCAATCTGATTGAATTGGTTTTTTTGGAGTTATCAGGAATGCGCTATTGAAAAAAACGCGAGATACGTGAAATCAAATTAAAACTGCAATTGTTCTCACATATTAACATTCTGCAAAAGAATTTAAAACTTACAGTAACAAGAGTTTGCAGGTTGGAATTTCTAACATTTTGAACATTTTGCAATTGAAATCGATCACTTTAGCTGATCTCCTTGCGAATCGAGGAGTTGCTTAAAATGTAGCTAGCTCCTTAACATGGAATAAGCTTTTAAAGGCATCAAACTCAAGACTTGACGTTCAACCAGCACACCGTTACAATTTGGTCCACAGATTCCTCTCTCAGCATAAAGTCATGCATATACCTTTCCAAATTATAGCATGTATTGTTATTCTTCATTGCGTTCACAGGAGTTTATCTGCTATCAATACCAAATTGTGATCAGAAACTATACTTTCTCTGGTCTTTAGGGTACCTACATGCTATTATTGGAGCATTTTGAAATAAAACAGGCTTACTGTGCATAGGCAGCGAGAGATGGCAATAATACTTTCTAGTCTAAAGATATGCCTTAAAATTGGATTTTGCCTCTGCTCTGACATGTCAAAAATCCAGGAACTTGAATAAATATTTGTTTCATCTCCTGAAATTTAAATTCTTTCAGAGCTATGTAACGGACAATAAAATCAGAACATATTTTGTGACACACTGAATTATTTTCTCTTTTAGTTAATGACCCTTACATTGTACCATCCCCAAAGTCGGTTGATCAGAATTACTCTGAATTCACAATGTGACGCGCAACATGCAAGGCAAACAGCAATCAAATGTTTTCTTTTTGTTCTAATTCATGTCCCATTTATAAATCAGACTGATGTCTTGTTTATCCATCCTCTCAAGATTTCATCTCTTAATTGAAAAATGAAACAGATGTGATTGCAAACAAACGCTTGGGAAACTATTCTGTGTTATCAATCCCTATCACACAGAAGGTCTGGCGCAGCAGGGTCCCACTTTTTGAATAATGCTCACTCATTTTACAAAACGCAACCGCTGTCGGAAAACTAGCGCTCAACTAGTCACTGCAGAGCATTCGGCAAATGACAACCTGCCGTCCAACCATTGGAGCTGGAAAGATTTTGAGAGACACTTTATTATTCGGAACAGAGCTTTAAGTCCCTCGCTCGCACTGTATTAGTCACTAAATTCAATAAAATATTCTGAAACTAGCCTGCTGTCTAATACTCCACAGGTATTAATGCAAACCATTCCCAACAGCATTATTCAAACATCCGAGCATCCAAAACAATGGGTTAGGAACCAACATATTTTACACCACAAATTCTGAATGATTTTTTTTAAAAAAGAAAAGCAGATTGTTTTTCCAAATTGGCAGTTGGTTCTTTTGAATGATTTTCTGAAATGCATCAGGGTATGTTTTCTTCGTGTAAAACGCATTTTTAAAATTTAAATGCTTGTTGCAGTATCCTACAGCTGATTGGTTTCTTCTCAATTCAGCCTGAATGCCTGCTAATTTACATGAGTAAATGAAATAGAGAGTACACTTACTTAAACTGACCGCTAAGTACGAATGAAAATTATGCTGTCATATCAAGATCAAGTAACTGGATAGTAAATTTCAAAACAGGCGATCGCACCCGGCCTCATTTTAACTGTGCCCCTTTTCATTGTAAGATCGAACGAGGGAAATCCCTGGCAGCTGACCCGCTTAAAGCTGCGTGTAAAACATTGTTTCAAATGTTTTCTTTCAAATGTACTCAGCTGACATGGTAGCAGCAATGAACTGCCAGCACAACTTAATTGAAAGTTGAAAATAAACTTGCAGTACTTATGATTCATATTTAATAAGTAAAAGGGTATCAGTGCGGTCATTTTCTTTCTGATTTACAGAACACCTTTCTTTGGGAATGAATGGGGGAAAAAGTACAAAGCTATGATTGAAATTCAAAAGTGGCTACTCGGGCCGTGCGGGTCATGGAAGGAAGTAGTCCTAGCAATAAAGGGTTTATGAAATTTAAGCTTCGCGCTAGGACTTTGTTAAGAGCCTCCCCCTTACGCCGTACATTGACGCCATATTACTTAATCCCCTTCCCTCCTGTATGTTTATTGTCTTCCCCGTGTTTTTGCCATCAAACAAACAGCAAGTCTGCTGTTGACAATCCACGAGAAGCCCCACCAGCCTGTCATGAAACATAAACATGGAAACGTTGTCTCAGAAAAGCTCACAACTGTTATTCCAGATGACTGTATAGTGAAATTGTATCAAATGTATTTCTCGGTATTTCGGAATGTATTGTATTCAAATAAAATGTACAACCAATCCAGTGCACTTCTAAGAACCAACCAATTAAATAATTTTCATCACAAAATTCAGCCAGAAACCAATTAAACAGTACCAGGTCCTACTTGAATTGCATGCTAGTTTGAATTGTAATTATAACGCTTGCAGTTGTATAAAGTAAACAGGTTATAAACAAATAAAATGGCATAACTTGTACACTTGCTTCATTCACATTGCACTGCCCAGGCAACAAGTGAGATGCTTATATTAGAAACTTAAAACAGGTAAACGTTCAATACATCGTATCCAGCAATGTAATTAAGTTAAGCTTACCCATAAAAGTTAAACGATTCTTAACTTCGTGACAGTCTCTATTTAGGCGTGCTGGCTGGTTTAAATTGCATTCTGTTAAACTCCAAATCGGATTTTTTTTTTTGTCAGGTTTGAATTGAAGAAAAAACTTTAAGCAATTAAGCTACTGTTGTCTGTTTAAGAACCCACTGTGGAAATCAGTAGTAAACATTACTCTTTGACAATGCATCGGTATGCTATTTTCTGAGTTTATTTTATACTGACAGATGTATTCTGTTATTTCAAATATTTTAATATATTTCTGTAATTATTGTTGGCGGGCAATCTAGTTTAGCTTGTATTTATTGGGGCTCCCTGACTTTCAGACTGTTCTTCAACGCGGGAAATACTGCTTGGCTGATTCCGCATATGAAACTGATCTGGCATTGACAAGTAGTTCGTTGCGGGAAAATAGATACTTTAGGCTTAAAATAGCACGAAGAGACTCTTCGTGTAATCAGTGTTTGAACAAGTCAATAAAAAATCAATAAATGGCTAACTTCATACAGTATTTCAATTGTCCGTCAATACATGACTGTAAAACTGAATTTGCAGCGTCCTTCTCATTAAATAAGTAATCAGTTTTTAAGCACATCCTGGGGAGTGTTTAATAGAAATGAATTGGGACTTACCCCCGTAGTAATTGAAAGGGCCGTTTCCCATCATGTCAGCCCCGTCGAGGCGATCTCCCAGGGGTCTCATCCGTCTGGGGCTGCGGAAAAACGCGTGTCTACGGGCCCCTAAAGCACTCAGCTGCTTCATCCGCCTCTCCTTAGACCTCCTGTTCTGGAACCAGACCTGGGGCACAAAACAGCCACGAGATTTTTTCCTCTTTAATTTCTACAATCATTTGTTAATATGAAATTATACAACACAAACAATGCCCTTCCAGCCCTATAATTCAAAACTAAGGTTTACCTGCAACACTTAAAAATGTTTCCATTTAATTTCAGACTGCAACATACCAATATTTAAAGGTATCTTCAAACTAATATTTGTATTTTTCAGGAAACCAGAAGGCTTGCCCAGAGACAGACGCGGAACCAAATTTACAATAATCACGCGGAACATTTCAACATTTCCCCTTGATTCCAGACCTTTAGGCTAACACACAGTAACGTCATTCGAATATTTTAAAATGCAATTGCCAGTTGAAATAAAAATCAAGTTCTTTCTTTTCATGTGATCAAAGGCAATCGTGTGTTGGAATAATGTTTCAACTGACACATTTTTGTGGAGTTGGGGTGGGGTGTAGGGAAGGAAGAATTTAACATCTTGGCCAAAATGAATCAAATGAAAATGGAGTAAACTTTCTTGGCCACTTACCTTTACAATGGCCGTCAATGAGATAATGGACTCATTAAATACTAGTTGAATTTTACAGTGTTGTTGAGAAAAATTCAGACGTGTATTAATAAAGTTGTATTGAATGGAGTAAACTGGTGCTTAAAAAAATCAGCGCAGAACTGTGGCAATTGGGAGAAAAAAATATTTTCAAGAGTACACTTTGTTTTGTAGACAGGGAAGGGTTTGGCAAGCTAATTCCAGATGTCCTGCAATATTACGTAATTGTTACCGCTGACCTGGGTGGTGCGTCCTATATTTAACTTGGGTCAAATGAAATGACGGCTTTGCCCTTTTTTCGTCACCCACTTCAGAATGTGGGCCCTCGTATTTGTTCCACGGTGTGAATAATGGCCCCTTCCCCGTTTCCACCTTGGATGCTTCAAAACTGGCTATTAATTAATCGAAGATTGTGTGTGTGTGTGTGTCTCGAGGGGGGGGGGGGCGGGGGGAGGGGGCTCATGTAATACCTCTTGAACTCATGCAAATGACAGTTTAATTCTGGAGCTCAGTCCTCCAGTACTTGCAGTCAGTTTACGTCCTGCCATTTCATTCAGCGTCTCACTTCACCGCTAAGCCGTTTTCGTTTGTCCGTGCTTTGTGCCGCCCTGACGCTACGTTTGTCCAGCTTTTTGTTTCTATTTACATGTGCACGAACGCTGTTTGACCTCTCGGGCGCAGCCTTTTCTGGGCTCTTTCGGTTACCTGCGTCCAAAACCCGCGCATTTGACCTGATTGAAGCAGACTGCTTACCCGCCTTCCCTTGTCTACCTTCCTTTCCTGGACGAGAGTTTATCCCGGCTCAAAAACTTTTCCCCGCTGAGGTTTGACAGTCTCTATAACCGTTTTTTTTTGGGTGTGTGTGTGCGTAATATAGCGGCTCTGAGGATTTATCCCGGGTCAATGGTATGAGTTATCTGCACGCCTTGTTGCTTAACTATTTTTATCTGAACACTCACGCATTTAGTCTCTTTCCCCGGGTTATCTGTTCCTTGCTAATGATCCCGACTACATAACCTTCTGATTCCCTGAGTCGCTGTTTAATTACGGGTCAGCATTTCCCTCCACGTTTTGTGTTTTGCCCGAATCGCAATGGTATCCTTACTTTGAACACTCCCTTCCGAAGAACACTCTTACCTGTATAACCCTCATATTGAGCCCGGTCTCCTGAGCCAGCTGCTCTCGGATGTGCCTGGTCGGTTTAGGGGTTGCTGCAAAAGCCGCTTTGAGGGTTTCCAGCTGCTTCGCTTTGATGGTCGTGCGCGGACCGCGGCGCTTCGCTCCCAGGTTCTGTTCCTCGTTCTCGTTAATGGCAGTCTCTTTATCTGAAATATTGGCGCTTTCTGAGTCTTTTGTGTCATCTTGTAAATGATCTTGAGAATCCGGTGAGAAACTTTGATCGCTACATGCCGTTACTGTACAACACACAAAATGAAATGGGATGATGTATGAGTTCACATCACATAAATAACGCAGCAAAACGATGATAATTACAGACAGCGCACCCAGTAATTGATAGATCGCCCTTTGGACTGCCGAGTCCCGGGATTCTTGCGTTCGAAAACACCGAACTTAAACGGTACAATTAGGGACATTCTAAATGTTTATCCTCTTATTCCATCCGCTCTCACGAAAATACATTTGTTTTCACTTTACGATCGCGTTGAAATGAAAATAGAAGAACGGAAAATAAAATTGACAGGGCGCCTAAACTGAAACCAAATAATACAATGGATACAGAGAGCTAGATGTGGCAGAAAAGCTCCGGGATAATGGTCTGGGTTGCTGCTCGCCAGGCAAAGCAAAAGCAGAGCATGGGATTTATGAGGAATTTAAAGAGATTAAGAGTTAATAACTGTTAAATTGGGGCGGACTCGAAGTGGGAGTACTGTCATCCTGAATTTTGTAATCGAATCTACCCAATTCAGAATACCTTCCGGTCTTCTCTATCTTACACTGGGTACTGTTTTGTGGTGACAGTATTAAAACACGAGATTCGAGTTACACTCCAGTTTTCGATCCTTTAACGTTCGCGTAAAGCTAAACAGTTACTGGACTACTCTGGCACCTCGACCTCAGCGCACACATGGATTTGGTTTTACCTGACAGCGCGCCGTTTTCTCTCGAATTATTGCTGTTTAGAAAATCGTCTTTGCAAACAAATTTGTTTTCGTCTATGATGTAGAGCTCTTCTCCGGTCGAAAGTTGCTTGTTGCATATCATACAAGTAAAACAGTTCAGATGAAAGACTTTGCTCCTCGCTCTCCTCACCAGATCGCTCGGGGAGATACCCTGATAGCAGCCGGCACACTTGGTACCAAAACGACTGAAACGGACCAGACAAGGAGAGGAAAGAAGATGTCAAAAAAATTGCATTTTAATGCAGTTAACTACTCAACTCCGGCCGGTTAGAACCGCAAAGCGTAGAGACTTAAATTACATTGTTTTTACCGTGGGCAGGGTGACAGTGATAGTTCACTTACATTGTTCGAATGTGACCCACCAACAAACAAACCGATAGGAAATGCAGCCTGTAGGTGTACAGTTATCAAGCTACAGAAATCAGCACAACATTGGAGCTGATACACCTGCATGGAACAGATTGTTCACTGAGCTGTTCATTTTTATTAACTTAAAAATATCTTTGGCAATCAGTACTAGGGTTCATGGAAAATCTGTGTTCGAATGTTTTAGGGAACCTTTTACATTCAACCAGACTAAACTTCCTCCGTCACTCATAAATCACTGCAATTATTGTTCGTATTAACTGCATTGACACTTAATGTTTTGATCCCTCTTCAATTCAGAGTATAGATCGGGCAGGGGGGGGGGGGGGGGGGGGGGGGGGGGGGGGGGGGGGGGGGGGGGGGGGGGGTGGTGGAAGAAGCTCCTGACATAAATAACTGTTAATTCGGTGAAAGTAAAAGCTGGCTGTGATTATAGTGACAAAGTTAAATCAGAAGATGAAAGCGGTTTAGGTCACTTGGAAAAGTCGCCGCACGAACATCCTATTCCACATTATTTCAAGATTTATAAAAGGTTTAATGGATTTTTTTCAATATTAAGACATTTCGATACATTATTTAATGTCATTGTATTTCTTGACGAACACGAGCCTTAACGAAATCGTATAACAAGTGAGCACCAAATACTTTCCTGAAGTTTCCCTTGTAATTCATTTTAAGAAAAAAAAACAACCTATGTATTCAAGAAAAGGGCTTTAAAATGCTACAAAGGTGGCAATTCACCAATAAACGTTTTCGCAAATACTGATGCGCTATGAAGCAAAATTACATTATCAAAAACTGCATTTTTTAAAAAAAGAGTCTCATATCCAAGTTGGATGTAAAATTCATTGGATTAATAAACGTTACGTCATTTGCAGGTGACGGCCGATTGAAGTGATGACGGCGTATGATCCCGGAGGAGGAAGGAGATTTCAGGAGAGCCTGATTAGAAAGGTCTCCAAACTTGACATTAAACCATTCATTAATAATAACTGAGGAAGTGGTGAGTTCAGTCAATGGTTCCGGTTTATAAGCAATAGGCAAAGGATCGCATTTACATCTGTAACTTGAAACCGAGTATTATTTCTTGAGGGAAGACTCGTCATAAATCTAAAATCTTAAAACTTTTTGCTGGGACGGCGAATCCAGTTAGGCTTATTGACTGAAGAAGAGCGGTAACAATGTTAACATTGATGTTATTTGCAAATTAAAATTGTGAACAATGAAAAGTTAGATAAGATTAAGTTACTCGAGAAGCAACAGGAACATTGCTGCCCTATAGTGTGCAATATATTTCTTTATTGTTACGGATTGTACATTTGGTAATGGGTTTAGTTCGTAGCATGGAGAAATGCATTTGAGCAGGTATTTTATAGTTCGTTTAGCTGATTGCTGAGGAAGGTTTGCCCATACTCAATTTGTCTGGGTTTTCTCTGTAAATACTTTGTTATTCAAAACCACTTATCACATCGTTACAATAAAATAAAAACAACAAGTAGGTAGACAGAGCCAATGGATTTCCTCTAGGACTCGTGGTTATTGATCTCGGCTTTAATTTGCCTCAGCAAGAGAACCGTGCAATCTCCTGCTGAATAAACACTTTCCGTATTTCACACCAGTAAAGTTTCTGGACAGGACTGAACGAAAGTGGGCGAATTTTACGTTTTATGCTCATGCAATTCAGTTGTTTCATCAAATCGCAAAGTAATAAAGTTATTTGAGGGACTGAGGTTTTTTTTAAACACTTCACAATTTATTCTGGATGAGTCTTCTTAAAGATGAAAATTACTCAATGGTTCTGCTTTTAAACTAACAACAAATCATGTGGTCTACTCACGAAATAAAAAAAACAATCATACTGAATGAACGCAGTAATTTGTAGCTTACACAGTACGAGTAGAAGACAGCACTATCATTCTGACGATGGCTCAAAAACCATTGCACTCACCGAAAGAAGTCGTTTTTGCAGTAGAGCTTTCCTTCTCGTGAAAAACATTTCTCTGTTAAATTGCATTTACATTCGCAGCACTGTACACATTTCACATGCCAAGCTCTGTCCAGGACGTTTAATAGAAACCTATCAAGAATAGGCCTCTCGCACCCCGCACAGTGCACCATTGTCTTTGGATTGTTCCCAGAAAATGAGATAGCTGACGGTTAGATATTTGGCTGGTAATAATGAGGTCCTCGAACGTCCACCAGGCTGATCCTTAAAATGGCTCTTATTAAAGGGCGACGGTTCCAAACGATGAAGTGGCCAGCGTTTTGTTTTTTTTGAGGTAGCTGATATGAGTGAAAGCAAACCGACGCAGGTGAGCTTCTAGAGCAACAATCGCCCTCTCAAAGAAATAACTACAAAATAAAAACAAAAAAAAGACACACTATACTGACCAATAAGCAACAGTGCTGTCACTCTGGAGTATTAAATTGTTTACTTCAACATGATGCACAAAGATGCCAAGGTTTAACTTTGCCTCATAAGTTATTTGCTTGGCTTTCTTATAATAATACTGCAGTATGTATGTACCATTAGCAAAATAGTAATATCTATAGATATTAAATACTCCAGAAATAACATATGGGTGACAGGCCTGTGGCAAGCATTGATTTTGATTTCATGGTTCAACTTTCCTGGTCTTGGAAGAGAAATATCCCCAGTCGTGTTTACTGTACAGCTAGAGGAGTTGTGTGGATAAACATGCCAATCACCAGCTGCTGCTGCTCTGCTCGCCGCACGCCCTCACTCGACTGCATGTTTCCTGGAGCCGGCGCACACCTTATTCACATCGCCGTCACACGTCCCGCCGCGTCACCGGCGCCCCTGTCCAATCAGCCACCCAGCTACCATGGCAACCGCTAATTTATGACAGTTTTTTTGTATGAGTGTGTTGCCTTTTTTTCCTGCCTTCCTGCGACTCGCAACATCTCGCCTTTAAGAGAAATAACGGAAGCCGCGGCCGTTTCTGAGCCTTAGGTATAGTTCGCCTTGTTGTTTCCTCTTTGTTTTCTTTTTCCGTTTTACTTTGCACCGTCGTATCCCTCCTCCCCGTTTCCTTTCTCTGCTTTGTTCCATTTTCCAGTTGCAATTTGAACGTTGCACTTTTGTCTCGCGGGAAAGCGTCAGCCTGAGAGAAAGGGAGCAAAGCAAACTACCAAAACAAACAGCAAGAAAATATAGGTTTCAAGCCCTCTTTGCCCTTTTGGACTTTTATTGGGTTGTGTGTGAGGGGAGGGGGCGTCGGTTTCTCTTGGCCAGATTTTTGAGGCAAACAACGAAAAGAAAAATCAGAGATTGCATCTTTTCTCAAGTGATTTTTATTGGGATGGCGAGTCTCGTGTTTCTGTCATTTGACAGATTGTTGCAGAACGATTGCACTGTAATTAAGTGGCAAGCCATATTAATTGGCAGAAAGGGTACGAAGGCGATACCTTAATCAGACTGATCAACGTGAAATAAACATATTATTTAAGGGTGAGTGCATGGGGATGGATATTTACCCATAACCAGGTGAAAAAATGGCAAAGGAGGCGCGTATGACGTTTAATGCAAGCACAACGGTGGGGTGTGTCAACAAATAACTTGCATATGCATGAGCCCTTTCTCCCTGTCTGCAAACGCGTCTTAACCTTTGAAGTGGTATCCGTTCAAAACGTGACAGACGATAAGAAAGACCTAACAAGTCATTTTGTCACCTCTGCACTTGTTGATGAATGGCCTGCTCAAAGAGAAAGGCTTACTTGCGATGTTTAATGGGCGTTCCCCCCCCCCCGCTTAATCTTGAACTCGACGCCAAATAGTGCTTAAACATATTTGCATACGTAGTGTTAGACTGAAAGTTTTGATTTTTTTTGGTGTATATTCCATCAGCGCGGATGGAAACAGAGCAAGAAAGGCTCACCCTGCAGTCAGCCTCTCCCAGCAGTTGACAGATCTCAGCTGCCAAACCCATGGGCGCCGTGAAAGTTGAATATTTGCTTTCAGTTCAGACGCTTGCCGTACTTTAACAACAATGTGTGCAGCACTATTCTTGCAGCAGCTATAGTAGTTGGAGAATGGTAAGATCCCTTCACTTCTCGCCGAGTATAGGCAGAGGAACAGGCAAAGGATTCCAGCATCTGCAGACCCAGGGCAATAACAACCGAGATAACAAGGTGCAGAGCTGGATGAACACAGCAGGCCAAGCAGCATCAGAGGAGCAGGAAGGCTGACGTTTCAGGCCTAGACCCTTCTTCACAAATCAGATCTCCGCAGACAGGATCTTAAGACTATAACAGTGCGAGAAAGACAGCACTTTCAGCTTTATTCGAGTAGGCCTTAATAGCCTGAACGAGGGACTCAGAATGCTTAGAGAACACAAATATTGTTCGTGAGCATTCATTTGGCAATTGTACAAAATATGTTAACTCGTCTTCTGAGTGCCTTAACACCTCGGTTAGGGGATCAACTCGACCTCTAGATAGACTTTGAACTTTTAATTCGTGCTGGACAAATCTTTACGTGTTTCCTACTTTAACAAAGTATTTCGCTACTTCCGGTCGCTGTTATTTTTCTCATTGGTGTCCAGTGCCCAATGCGTTACAATTTGATCTCTTCTCCATGTAGAAGCAGGCCACTCCTGCTCTTATTCCAGTTTTCTTTTGTAGAAAATACGACATGGTCTGTGGGGGGGAGGGGGAGGTGTCGGAATTGCTGTGCTACTACGTGTACTGACATCATCAATAAATTCAACACCGACACGTTTACGGTCTCTCCACAAATAGTGAGCGGAGCATTTTTATTCGTACAACCACGTTTGTTTTTACCATTTTCCCGACACATGTCCATACCTCTAAAACCATTATGTATTTTTTTTTCTTTGCAACGGTGAAGTAAGGAGTTGTGCAGTTTCTGACAAATGGCTACAAAAAGTGCAAATAAATCGCTCTTATTCCCCGCAGACTCGCGGCCACCCTGGTGAAAATTCCCCGTAATTGCGGGGAAAGGAAAACCGATCCCGCTCCCAATAAAGGAGCGACATGCAGTGGGCACCAACTTTTATCTTTGCCAAGATGGACACGGTCTTTGTTGCGCGGTTGCTTCCTTTGCCCCTTTGCTCCGTCCATCCGTCCAGAATTCCCTAAGACAGACGCTTATCGCTTTATATCCCCACGCACAATCTCTGTGAAAACGTAAATGAAAAAGAATCAATAAACCCCTTCTGCACATGGGGTTCTTCTCAGGCAGCAGGGAGAAACGCGGCTGGTGTGGACATGGCCCTCCAGACTTCAGAGTGACAGCTGCAGTCTTGTGTCTAGGGACCCTTTTCCTTTGACTCTCTCGCAGATGACATGTGTTGGTCAGGAATGAATAGAGATAAGGGATGAGCAACATCTTTGCGGCCACCGTGTCTATCTCTGCTTCACTATTTTATTCAGCTGCAAAGCATCTGGTTGCATGACTGGAGCGCAGGCTTCCTTCCGATATCAAAAAGTTTTTTTTTGCAGTTGGGTGAAAAAAACAATCAACTCAGACAACCCGCAGCATCATGGAGTTAGCAACTCGCCTGTGATGTTTAAGGAGGTAACCGAAAATTGCAAACGACCCTCCCCCCACCCCACTCCCCCACGCCTCCAGTTTGTGTTAAGTAACTGATCACAGTGGAAGTTCCATATCCTGTAACCCCATACCGCCTACACAAGTGAAACTGACTTGAAAGAAGTCCGTTTACATCACGTGTTTGGGTGCAAAAAGCTGGAATTCATGGAAACAAGATGTTTATAAAACTGCAAAAAGGGCTACTGCAAATATTTTGTTGGGGGAGAGGGATAGTGTCTGAGGATGAGGGTGGGGAGAAGGGGGGAACTAATGTGTGCGCCACATGAAGTACCCTACATCAGTGTGGCCAGGAGCGGCGATCAGAGACAGGCAACCTCCTTTCATCTTCCTTCAAATTACTGAAGTGAAATGTAATAACAGCACTGCAAATAGTGTGCACTTAGTGACCCGGCATTGTAAACGAACTTCCCGATGTTAAGTATCCACTTTCGCTTCGCAAAGTAGATTGTGTAAAGTGATTGTCGGACACGTTGCAAAATGGTTGTTGGGCAGATTTGAGCTCAGGCAGTTTGTATGATAGAATATTTATAAAGGCAAAATAATCTGTCCCAATTTACTCCAGAATATGTTCTTACTCGGGCACGTCTAATTACGTATTTTAAATGGTGTCATAAGAAACATCGCAGCGATCCACTGTCGAGAGGTGGAGCGTTTAAATGTTGACACAAATAATCATTCTTGACACTTAAAACTTACAACCAAGGCGCATGAATCCAATCTTAACCCTTTCCCTTCCACCCCCCACAAAAAATATCCATAGGGCAACAATCACTGAGGGCGCGATTTTACAGCACTTCACCTAAGAAATGGCGATGATTCAGAGGAGAGGAGTATCAGCAGAGTGCTCACTGACTGGCGGTAAGAACAAGTCTAGGATCTCCTTAGCTTCATGGAAACAAGAACAAGCTGCCAGAGTCACAGCCAGTGGCTGTCAACTCGGAGTGGAGGAAGATATCGATTGAAAGTGAGCGCCCAGTCAACGTGTATGAATGTTAATAGGCCCAAATACAATTCACAAACTCAGCCATTTCCTTTGCATTTCAACTGACAGGAGTTTCTCGACCTTGTCCACATAAATAGGTGCCACCACTCTCTGTCTAGAACATTTTAATTATGTCCTACCTTTATATTACGTTTAACGTATCACTTATTAAGCCATGTCCTGAACAATGCACCACTTCTACATACAATATAATATTAACACACATATGTTTAATATTCGTGACTGTTCAACACTTTATGTTCTTATATGTATCTCTCAGAACGTACACATTGTGTAGCTGTATAACGACCACGGCATAAGACCGGACCAATAGTACCCAACGATGTCGAGTTATAAGAGAAAGAGCATCGGACCAGCGTTAATAATCTATTTTTATAATAATCTATTATTAGAGTTGTTATTTCAAAATAACACGTTTCTTTTGTAAGATTCGACATACATGGAATATCACTTCATAGACCCGAGTAGATTATAACAGTTGTGATAGTTGGACATATTCTTAGGTAAGAAAGATAATTTAATAACGACCAGACAGAAAAAAAAACGACACTTTTGATTTCACTGCTTCAATTTCTAAATTAACCCCTCTGTAATAATCAATGCAGAACACAGGCAATGCAGAATTAATGTGAGAACGGGTCAGTTGCAGCTGTATTTGGTATTTTATGATCGCATTTTCACCAGAAAAGGGGCAGTACAATGGAAGACTGCTGTCTGCATAGATTATTGTTTAATTCAAATTTAATAATTATCAACATTTCATAAAAATACAACGGTTTCTGACCTCTGTTGACAGCAGTTACCACTTTAGTGCTTGAAGGAGTTGAGGGGTAATTGCGCTCTATTTCAAAAGTTAATTTCACCATCTGCTTCCAGGGACATTGTTGAAACAAGCGTTGCCAATTCTACATATATTTAAACTCAACCAACCAAGAGGTTTCGCGTGCTTTTGTTTTGAGTTGGAGCTTCCAATAACTGGATTACCGGTACAAACGTGAACTTGTCATACTAAATGGTTCAAGGTAAAATTACTGGAAAGGAGAGTGAGATTTCTCTATCGATTAACCAACGGGCTAGTGGCCGTGGCACTGCGACTCTGAACATGTCGAAAGTGTTGCAATGAAGTTGCAGGCAAGTTTGTCAAGTTCAGGTCTGCAGACAGGTCGTTATTGTCTTGCCTTTTAAACTTGGCCTCCTTCCCCCTCCGCCCCTCAACCCCATTGCACACGTGACTTTATCCGATCAGACTGGTTGCTTCGCTCGTCAAAATTCGTAGACTCCTTGCCGGAAGATGTGGGTGACACTTGTGATAAACTGAAAAATGTATCGCGCTAGTTGAGGGGCTGTGATCGGCCAAGTGCAACTGGATTACAAA